AACCATAAAAATCCTCTAAGAAAACATAGGCAGTAAAATCTCAGACATTTCTCATAGCAATATTTTTTTCTGATATACAGACATCTCCTTGGGCAAGGGAACAAAAATAATTAAACAAACATAATTACAACAAACTAAAAAAAATTTGCACAGCAAAGGAAACCATCAACAAAATGAAAGACAACCCACTTAATGGGAGAATATATCCACCAATGATACATCTGATAAGGAGGTGTTAATATTCAAAATGTATAAAGAACTTATAAAACTCAATACCACAAAAGTGAACAAACCAATTAAAAAATTGGCAAAGGACCTGAACAGATACTTCTCCAAAGAGGACATAGAGCTAGCCAAAAGACATATGAAAAGATGCTCAATGTCACTAATCATCAGAGAAATGCAAATTAAAGCCACAATGAGATACCATCTCACACTTGTCAGAATGATTACGATCAATAAATCAACAAGTAACAAGTGCTGGCAAGAATATTGAGAAAAGAAAACCCTCGTGCACTGTTGGTGCAAATGCAGACTGGTACAGCCACTGTGGAAAGCAGTACGGAGACACCTCAAAAAATTTTAAATGGAACCACCTTATGACCCAGTGATTCCATTTCTGGGAATATACCTGAAGAAACCCAAAAAAATATATGCATTCCTACATTCATTACAGCATTATTTACAATAGCCAAGTTTTGGAAGCAGCCCAAGTACCCATCAGTAGATAAGTGGATAAGTGAGTAAAAAAAGCTGTGGTACATTTATACAATGGAATACTATACAGCCATTTAAAAGAATCTCAAATCAATTTAACAGTTTTTTTGAAAAAAAATTATTTTAGTTGTTGTTCAAGTATAGTTTTCTGTCTTTTACTCCCAAAATTTTTTAAAAAAAGGAGATCTTACCCATTGGAACAGCATGGATGGACCTAGAGAGTATTGTGTTAATGAAATAAGCCAGTCAAAGGAAGACAAATACCATACAATTTCACTTATACATGAAATCTAATTAACAAAACAAACTAACAAACAAAAGAGAAACAGACTCAGAGATACAGCTGTCAGAGGGGAGAAGGTATTGGAGGGCTGGGTGAAAAAAGGGTGAAGGGATTAAGCCAAAACAACAAAACCCAAAAAACTCATAGACACCAACAACACTATAGCATTAGCAGAGGAAAAGGGGTTGGGTGAGGGAGAAGAGGGTAAAAGGGAGATAAGTGGTGATGGAAGGAGACTTGACTTGGAGTGGTAAACACACAATACAATATACAGGTAATATATTATAAAATTGTACACCTGAAACCTACATAATTTTATTAACCAATGACATCCCAATACATGCAACAAAAAAAGAACAAGAAGGCTTTCTTTTATGTATATCCCAGTGTCTACCACAATCCCCATTATAAGTTGAATTGTGACCCCCAGAAAGATATGTTGACATCTCAGTCCCAAATTCCTCAGAATGTGACATAATTTGGAAATTGGTTCTTTGCAGATAGAATCAGTTAAGATGAAGTCATACCTTAATGCAGTATGACTGGTGTCCTTATAGAAAACAGCCATATGAGGACAGACACACAGGGAGAATGTTATGGGAAGACTGAGTCAGATGCTGAAATGACACATCTGCAAGGCAACAACTGCCATTGTCACCAAGAAGCTAGGAGAAAGGCATGCAACAGACTCTCCTTCAAAACCTTCAGAAATAACCAACACAGTCAACACCCTGAATTCAGACTTCTATCTTCCAGAGCTTTGAGACAATACATTCCTGTTCTTTTAAGCTGCCCAGTCTGTGGCGCTTTGTTACAGCAGCCCCAGGAACCAACACAGTACCAAATATGCAAATCTAGCTTCATAATACTGTTCACATTGAATGGGATTGCTGCTGCTCCAGAGAGAAAAAAGCAGGCACACCACATCCATTCTGTTTTTAAATTCTCTTTTAGAAATCTGTCAAGGTGTATTAAAAACCACAAAAATGACCATACTTATTGACAAAGTTATTCCACTTCCGGAAAACTTTCATAAAAAAACAAACCACAATTTGTTCAATGATATATCTGCAAAGATAAGTACGTCGGTAACTAAGGTTGTTTATAATTTGCTGCTAACATACCTGTCCAAATATAGAAGATTACTTAAGTAAATCATACTGTAATTACTGAAATATAACGCATATAACAGGACTTTTGGAAATTACATAAGATGAAAATGCTTCTATTTGTTATATGGAAAACACAGAATACTAAAATTCTATACAGGGTGATGTGGGTAAACATGCATTAAAAAAAGGAGAGAGACAACAGTAAAAACGAAAAAAAATTCATTGTGGTAGAAGTATGTTCAGTGGATTAGAACTCTCTTCTTGACTCCCTACTCTCACCCTTTTGGTACCTCCCTCCACTTCTTTTCTCTCCTCACACCTCCTTGAGCGAAGCCAATTCTTGACAATGCCTCCCAGGACAAACCCAGACTTGTATCACCATATACGAAGGTTTCTTTGGGAAAGATTCTGATCTGGCCTATCTGCAGTCTTATCCCACTATCATATCTATGGCCAGAATAAGACAGTCATTCTACAGCCAAAAATATCTGATGCAGTAGTCTCTTCATTTATGCTCTATGCATTTTTATGTATGTGTCATATTTTTCAATAAAATGGGGTTATTTTTCAGTAACTTACTGTGATTTCATATCCTGTTTTGCTTAGATTAGGATTCACGCTTTTCTGCCAATATGGTCCTATTTCATTACACTTCTGAGTGTGATGTTTAGCCAGGAGGAGCTGGGTTCCCATCACAGCAGTGGAGTTGGCAGAGGCTGTTGCTCTTCTACAATGCCTGCCAGCTCTCCTATGTCTCCCAATGCAAACTCCTTAACGTCCTGTAAATCCTGGCTTTAAAATTTCAAAGTTTTCCACCACCAGCAAACTCACCTGATATCTGCACTCTTAATTCATAACAATCATACTCTGCCAACATTTATCAAGCAACTACTAGTTGGAAGGCCTGAATGATGTTTACAATCTTTTTGTGGACATTGAACTTTAAGGAAAAAGAAGATAACCAATAGTAGAAAATGGCATGTTAAGTGGATAAATGACTGCTCACAGATGGGAAAGAGGGAGAGACTGCTGAAGGCTAAAAGGAAGAAACAAGGGAGAAGTTGAATAGATTTTATGACTGGGAAGTAGGTGGGCGATGGGAGATAGGACCACTGAAGTGGGCACCGAGGTGACTAGGAAAATGGAGTGGGTCCTTGGCAGAAATGATGTCAACTAGAAATGCTTTGGGCAAAGCAGGGCAAATCCAAATAAAATACTACTATATGCTCTGAGTGAGAGATGCTCTACTCAAACTGATTAAGACAAACAGGAAGCACAGAACCTTAAGCCAGGTGAGTGGAGGTGACAGCAGAAGAAACAAAGTTCTATGAAATCTTGAAAAGACAAATCCAAACTAGTATAAAGTAACACAAGAAGAAAAAGAGGGACCCCAGAAAGACAGTCTGGTGATGCTTGACACAGCCCAGTACCTCAGGAAAATGAGGACCAAGAAAGGATCTCTCGGTGGGCAGTATGCAGTGGTTAACAGCCCCCTGCTGGACCGCAGCCTCAGAGTTGGATGCCCTCCTGCTAGTCCTGTGCCTTTGGGCAAGTTACTGTCTCGGTTTTTCATCTGTAAAATGAGGATATTACCATTTACCTCACAGAATTGTTTGGAAGATTAAGAGTTAATACAAGTTCTTAGAACAGTGCCCTGCACTTAAAGCACTCGATAAATATCTGCCATTGCAGGGAAAAGATTTTTTTTTAGCACTCAAGTGACCTTGGGGAAAACAATTTCTAGCCAGTAGTAGGAGCAGAAATGACAAAGTAAGGGAATTAATAAGTGAGCAGTAAGAAGACGGAGGCAGCCACAAAGTATAGATGATTTTCACAGCAGTCAAGCAATAAAAGTAGTAACCTGCGAGTATAGGGTTAAGTGAAAATGCTTTCCAAGGGGGTATCTCAGCCGGAAGGAAAGAGCTTGGCTCACCAATACTGTTCTTCAGAACTGGTTTCCCCAACCACACCGGGTGCTGGACGGGGTAGAGACGGCAGAGTTCAAGGGCCAGCTCTCCAGGGAGCTCGAAACAGCGCAGTCTCCGCATCCGGTAAGTTTGAATCAGCGCTGACTGATTACCGGGAGAGGCCCATTTGCTAATGAACGCTATCTCGAAAGATGAAACAAAAGGCTTTCCCATTTCCCTCTCTGGCACGACCTGTTCCACGGCTCTGTACTCATCACTCCTCTCCTCGGCCACCACTCCTCTCCTCGGCCACCGGCAGTCGCTGGGACAGGATGCAGCTCCAGGAGCTAACGAGGCAGAGCCCTGCTGCACGAGCAGCGCCCCAGGTGCGTTCTGGCGTCAAGGACACAAAAGCGCCCGAGAAGGGAAGGAAACAGGAAGAAAGGGGCACGGGATTCTGGGGGTAGCTTGCGAAACCAGGTTCCGGGGCTGGGAAAGTGACCTCGATGGTCAAGGTCGTGCAGGTCCTTCTCTCTCCTGGTCCTACCGGCTAGCACCTTTGCCCTCCCGCCTGGAAAAGCAGTACCCATGCCGCGTAGGAGCGCTTGGGGGAGGCGCAAAGCCCCGGCGCAGCCGGGGACCGGGGTCCCTTTGGGACACTGAGGGGGGGGCTCCCCGAGAGCGCGCAGGTGAACACGGCGGCCCCGCCCTCCTGCGGGGAAAGGGCTTTCTTCCCCAGCACGGCAGGCCGTAGTGCAAGAACTTTTGAAGCCCTCCTCCCCCCAACAGAGCACAGGGATGGCCCCGCCAGGTTCCCCGAGTCTCCGGCAGCCAAATCCCAATCTCTGTGCGCAGCGCTCAAGTTCCTTCATCCAGCCGCTCCCGATTCCTTTCCCTCGTGTACTCTGCCTCTTCCCCAACACTTCTCCACGTCCTGTAAAAGTCTGGCCCCAGCCCACGGGCCCAGAGCCCTGCACTCACCCCGCGGGGACTGGAGCCCAAGCGCCCGGAGCGCGCAAGAGCTGAAGGCGAGGGTGCGAGCCCGGAGCTCCTCACAACCGCCCTTGAAGCGCCGGCTGCCAACTAAGCTGAAAAAGAGGAGGAGGCCCACAGGGTGTCACCTGCCCACCCTCCCACCCAGCTGCGTGACGCCACGCAGCACCGCCCCACTCGCTCGCCAGGTACCGGCGAGGGGCCGGGTGGGCGGGGCCGCGGAGGCCCCTTGTGGGAACGGCCGGGAGCCGCGCGCCCCGGGTGTGCCCGCCTCCACCGGGCTTCTGGCCACTAGACCGGTCGCTCGGAGCGTGGCCCAGAACGGGGCACTGCAGGCCGCTTTGGGGTATCAGCTCTGGCCGATGGACTAGTTACATTTTCTTCTGAGCACAGATGCCATCAACTGGGGTCATCTCGAGGCTTAACGTGTGAAAATTGTCGGCAGGCATGATTGAAGAATAAAACTGTAGAAAAATCTGAAATGAAGAAAACCTGGCTGAGGATGCGGCTGGGGGAGGAGAGGGAGAAAGAAGGGTGTCCCTGGTCCTGAAAAGGCTATTCTGGGGACTAATTCTTATCTGAAATGGAGGTCAGACCCAACTAAGATGAGAGGCCCAATTTGGGTCGGCTTCATTCTCTGCTTATTAAGAGAATTGCTGCAAATATTGGGATGTGGAGGGCCTTTAGAGCAAATTGTGTATAATCTAAGTCCTACTTTCCCGGTTAGTAACAGTAGGAATCAAGGAAACAGTCTACTAAACTTTCTCATCTGCTCCTGTTGGATCGGGGAGTTGGGGGAGAACACTCCCCTATTTTTCAAACTTACCTGGCCTGTTTCCGGTTTCAGTCCTCTTAAATGCTGATATATTATGAAGTCGTGGCCTCAGTAGCTGGAAGGTAAAATGGAGGTCTGAAGAAGTTACCAACTTTAAAAGCAAAACCAAGAAATGCAACTGAGTTATCTTCCAGAAACCTGAAAAATAACTCGAGAGGCTGCAGTCCTGACCCAAGCACCTCACATACGGGGCCTGTGGGTTTGTGCTGCAGCTTTAAACATGGAATCGCGACAAAAGGCTCAAAATAACCAGGGAGGGTGGGCAGGGAGGACACTCAGGGCCAGAAGAATGTTTTTCTCACAGGATCTGCCTTCCACCACCAAATCCTGCTGCACTGAACAAGAGGTTTGAAATGTTCTATGTAGCCATTAAAAGGAAAGCAAAAAACAGGAATGAAATTTAAGAGGATCTTGAGGTCAAAGATTCCTCCTTCCTTTTAGATAAACTTTGCTTTCATCATAAAAAGTTTGTAGGGGAGTGGGCTGGGATGGGAGTAAAAAACAAAACTGTACTTGAACAATAATTAAATAAAAAAATTTTAAAGTTTGTATAGTAGATTTAGAAAGTCCTTTGGGAATTGGAGACTATTGCTTAACAATAGTTGCCTTTCAGTCTGTCACTACCTACCAATCTATATGTATGTTTATGAAATTTCAAATATGCAGGTCAAATAGATTGATTCATTTAACAAACATTTATTGAACACTACTGTGTTCCAAGTCCCGAGGATTCAACAGACAATACAAAAGACAAAATAATCCTGTTCTTGGGAAGTGTACATTCATTCTACTGGAGATGACAGACCATAGATGAATCAACAATATGCAGTGTTCATGTTGTGGTAAGTGCTACAAAAAACAATAAATGGATGGACAGAGGGCCTTTGAAGGTGGGGAGTTGCAATGTTCAAGTGGTTAGAAAAGACCTCAGTGGAAGGAGGCATAGAGCCAAAATTTTATTTTATGTATTTATTTAACTCTACTTTCCTTATTTTGTATTTTGAAATTTTTTATTGTTGTTCAAGTACAGTTGTCTCCATTTCCTCCCACCACCACTCCCTCCCACCCCAGCCAACATTTTAAAGATGTGAGTTGGCAAGCCTGTGTGTCTATCCAGTTAACAGCGTTGCAGTCAGTGGGAACAAGGCTAAATAAAGGCCCTGGGGTATGTCTGGGATGTTCCTGCTCATACAACAGCAAGGACAGAGTGGTTGAACTGCAGTGATTGAGGACCGTAGTAATAAGTAAGGTCAAAGAGGTAAAGGAAGCATTTTGAGAAGTGACATCATCTGACAAATTTTTTTAAAAAGTACCCTGGCCAGTTTTTTGAGAATATGCTGGGGAAGGGATGGGAGGTAAAAGGGCAGAAGCATCAGTAATTAGGAGGATCTTAGAAAATCTGGATAAGAGATAAAAGTGGCTTGACCAATCTAGTAATCATAAAGGAAATCAGGTTTTTAAAATATATTCTGAAGGTAATATCAACAGGGTTTCTCAAGGATCTAATGTGGGCTGTGAGAAAGGAAACAAGTCAAGAATGACTTCAAGCAATGGCCTAAAGAATGGCCTCGAGCAATTGGAAGGAGAGTTGCTGTGTACTCAAAAGAGAGAGATTGTGAAAGTGTCTGCCCACTCCAGAGGGTGGGCATATGTATCCCTAGACGTGGTCGCACACTAAGCCTGTGCTACTCTCCCCTGGGGGGCGTCATTTGAGGATATTTTTGATGAGGAAGACATTGACCCAGAGGGCAAGATGTTTGACTGAGTATCTTGACTTGTGAGAATGAATCTTCCAAGATGCACCTCATTTTAGATGTATACAATCACAGTGCCCTGTAGACTTGGGTGACAAGTTCCCGCTGGTCACAGACAGACAGTACCTTGTGTGAAGACGGTACCCTGAGTCACGGTGAATAAACCCCCACAGATGATAGACCTTCCAGGGCTGAACAATCACAGCATGTAAAGTATGGGGAAGCGTACAGGGTTGAGGGGGATGAAATTCTGTTGAAGCAGCAACATCCCTCTCTGCCTATGGGTCCCATGGGGGCCTGCTCATGAGGCTGCAGCGTGGTGCCAACCAACATCCTACATGGATTTGAAGAAGAATCCAGAGTTTCTCTGCTGAGGAAGAAATTGGCCTTCTGGACCACCTGGGAAGCCAATCTTGCTGCTTAGTCTCCCCAGTCATGGACATTTATTTATGCCTGAGCAGCAGTTGCTGTCGTTCACCTCTTCAGGAGGGGTTGGCTTGCTGTCCACTGTGGGTGCATCTTTGGGTGGTCTGCACTCAATGGGAAACTGACTTGCCTATGAAAGCCCCAGTGAGAGAGCTTAAAATAAATCAGAATGTTTTGTATTTTTTAATTAAAGTTTACTTTTTCAAACTTTCCCTTTCCTAAAATAAAAAAGACTATAAAAAGTTGGGGGACTTCTGGCCAAGATGGAGGCATATGTGGAAATACTGTGCCTCCTCGCACAACCAAATTTAAGGACAACAAAGATTTAGAAACAAAAACACAACCACAACAGACAGAAAATTGAACTGTACTGAAGTCCTACATCAACAAACCATTCATCCAGACTGGTAAGAGGGTCAGAGTCAGTAGCCAGCAGAGAGGGGTCCCGGCTGGAAGAGGTGGTGGTCAGCAGAACTGGGTGTGGGGAGTAAACGAGCAAACCCAAACGAGACACGCAAAGCGGCTGGCTGACCGTGGACACACATTTGAGGGTAGATAAACCAGACAAAAAAATGGGCAGTGAGAAAGACTGTGCAACACAGGGCCCCAGCAATGGAAAATAAAGCTTAAAAGCACGGACTGGAAAACCTTTCAGGGGCTGAGATATTAGAAGAGGCTCCTGGCCCCAGAGGAGAGTTCCTTGGGGAGACCCACAGGGTCCTAGAACAAAAAGAAGCCCACCCACCCAGGAACCAGTACCAGAAGGGCCCAGTTTGCTTATGGGAAACGGCAGAGGGATAAATCCGAGAGAACGGAATAAACTCCATTGCCCCATCTCTGACCCCGCTCCCGGTAACAACTAAGTGACTGGGCTGACCCACCCTGGTGAACACCTAAGCTTTTGCCCCTCATATGTAACAGGTGCGAACAGACCACAACATTATGGCTCAAACAGAAGGACAGATCAAAGCCCCAGAGCCAATACTTTTAAGCAACCAAGAGATAGCCAACCTATCAGATGCACAGTTCAAAACACTGGTGATCAGGATGCTCACAGAACTGGTTGATTTTCATCGCAAATGAGATGAAAAAAATGAAGGCTACACTAAGTGAAATGAAGCAAAATGCACAGGGAACCAATACTGATGGAAGGATGGGACTCGAATCAATGGAGTGGACCAAAAGAAAGAAAGAAATGACTAAACAGAAAAGAATGAAAAAACAAGAATTCAAAAAAAATGAGGAGAGGCTTAGGAACATTCAGGACATCTTTAAACATTACAACATCCAAATTATAGGGGTACCAGAAAGAGAAGAGGAAGAGCAACAAGTTGAAAACTTATCTGAACAAATAATAAAGGAGAACTTCCCCAATCTGGCAAAGGAAATAGACTTCCAGGAAATCCAGGAAGCTCAGAGAGTCCCAAAGAAGTTGGACCCAAGAAGGAACACACACCAAGGCACATCATTACATTAGCCAAAATTAAAATGAAGGAGAGAATCCTAGAAGCAGCAAGAGATAAGCGGACAGTCACCTACAAAGGAGTTCCCATCAGACTGTCAGCTGATTTCTCAAAAGAGACCTTACAGGCAAGAAGGGGCTGGAAAGAAGTATTCCAAGTCATGAAATCCAAAGACCTACATCCAAGATTGCTCTATCCAGCAAAGATTTCATTTAGAATGGAAGGGCAGATAAAGTGCTTCTCAGATAAGGTCATGTTCAAGGAGTTCATCATCACCAAGCCCTTATTATATGAAATGTTAAAGGAACTTAGCTAAGAAAAAGAAGTTTAAAAATATGAACGGTGAAAGGACAGCAAACCCACAGTTATTAACAACCACACCTAAAACAAAAGCAAACTAAGAGCACAGCTAGATCAGGAACAGAGCCACAGAAATGAAGATCACATGGAGGATTAGCAACAGGGGAGTGGGAGGAGCAGAAGGGGGAGAAAGTACAGAGAATAAGTAGCATAGACAGTGGGGAGAAAATAGGGGGAGGGCAAGAGTAGTGTGGGAAATATAGAAGCTAAATAACTTATGACACGTGGACATGAACTAAAGGGGGCGGTGTGGGCGAGAGGAGGTGTGCAGGGTGGAGGGGAATGAAGGGGGGAAAT